ATCATATAGAAAAGATATATTCTTGCATAGTTTACCTGAATGTTCCCAATCAATAGCGTGAAGAGTAATAGCCCGCTAAGGACCATAACTATACTGAAAACAACTTCGAGCCAGTTGCTTGTGGGCTCAAGATCATTCGCGAATGTGCTATAAAACGTGACACCCAATTCAGGATTAGTATGTATGACTATCAAAGATCTTTAAATATCCAAGGATGAAAACCTTAAAATCTGAAACTAAGCAATTACCTGAGAGTCATTAGACCCCAGAAGATGGGATAAAGGATCTTAACCGCAAGAGAATTGCTGGAGATGACTGGAAGTGCCCATCGGTAGATACCATATCGGAATGGTCCGTTTGAATCTAAGCACATAGGCTTCTTGACAACACTGGTAAGGTTTCCAGATAAGCATGGATATCCAATTGTGCTTGTGGGTGACACAAATTGGTAACAGACCTCTTCTTTACAAGACAGACTCAGGTTGCAGTTCCCGGTTCTCATGCATTGCTGTCTTATGCAAGAAGCAACACGCTGTATTGCGAGAACATACCAGCATCCCCCAGCAACCTGAAACCACCAGAATTTCCATTACAAAAACAACCTTTAGTATCATATCTTGGCATGGAACCTAGCAGTATATACATATGGAATTTCACAACTTAAGAGTTGTAAAAGTTGTTTCAGTGTACAGTTGTACTTGTAGCAAATTATATTCAGGCGGAAATAATGTATCTGGCTTGAAAGGACTCACATGAGAAGCGATGAAATATGCGATGAGATTAAGAGCAAAACCCCACCAAATAGTGCCAAAAATGTAGCCAGTGACCTTTTGCATCCTTCTCATCAAGCAGAAGCAGTGATAAATCTTGGGGAGGAATTGGAACAAGAATATTAGCAGAAGAATCGTCATTATCAGCTTAACCTTCTCTTCTCTTATCAGTTTCGGCACGACTAACCAAAACACAGCCTGCAAATAATCAAAACACACAAAGTTCAAATTTGCATCTCAAATCAGGATTCATCAACACTTGGAAATGATTCATGGAGGCCTTTCTTGACACAGATAAAAGGTTTAGTGTTATTTCATAATATAAGAATACTTTGAAGGTTTCTTTGAAAAGTCGTCGGATTTTAAACCTGAGGCACAGGGAGAATGACGATAACATCAAACCAGAAGCCAGTGAGGGAGCGTGCGTAGTGAGACGCGATGGCGCGTGGATCCCAAACGAGCTTGCCACAACCGACAACAAGCGACTCTCTCGAGACGTAAGCCAGTCTGAATTGAAGCCACACGTGCCAAAGATGAACAGCGTCGAGAAAAGTGCGGAGCACCGTGACCACCGCGGCGAACGCGCCGTCCATGTAGAGACAGGCGGGGCCGGAGGTTCGACCAATGGAGAGGGCGTAGAAGAAGAGCGGATCCACGGCCAAGGCCATCCCGCGAGCTAGAAGCAACGCGCGGTTCCATCTCTGGACGCGCTTGCTCCTGGGATCGAGAACTTCGCCGAAGGGACCTTTGAGACGCCTGAAGCGAGCTCGGAGAGGGTTGGGGAGGGATCCTTCTTGGATGGGAACTAGAGAAGAGCCTGCGGAGGCACGCCACTCGGGCGCGTGAGCTTGATCGCAGCTAGTTGAGTGGAAAGCTGGGACGCCTACTTGAGTACAAGCGTAACACTCGACGGAGCTCAGAACCGGCGTTTCATCGCTGCCGCTGCTGGTGGAATCTCCGCCGTTGTTTTCATCGATTCCAGTCGTTTGTCGACGGAATTTGTCGGAAAACAGTCCAATCCACCTGCAAAAAAAAAATCAAATCAAATTGTGAACTCTGATTTTGTAACAACAATCATCGATCGATCTACTGCCAAACAAAAAAAAACAAAAATCGTTGGGAATCATCTCACATTCGTTGTATAGTACACAATTTTCGAAAATCCATTTCGTAATAAAACGATTTAGCATATACTCAAGCAATTATACTGAAATTGCATGGTCTTTGTTCGCTATATAAACAGTTCCAAAAAAACGAGTGAATGTTATTTTTGTCTCGGGAAAGAAAACAAAATGATTGTCAGATAAAGCTTGTAACCGTCGTCGAGTAAAAAAAACAAAAGACATTTGAAAAATGTTCTCGAGCGTACCGCCATTACTGAAGGATTACAAGCATAGATAGAAATTAAATTAGGAAATTGTATGTAAACCTGGAGATGAAGTTGGGGTGAGAGGGCATGATTGAAGTAGAGGAAGCACCATGGGAGGGAGAGGGAGAGAAAGAATTTGCAGGGAGTGATTGGAGAGAGAAGAGAGAAATGGGAAGATGATTTGTATAGGCAAAGGCAAAGACAACGAGAAGACAAGTAGTGTGTGTGATACGTACGTCTCTAGTAGGATTAGTGGGAGACTCTGGTTCAATAACCAAACCGAAGATTGGCTTAAAATCGAAAATCAAACCGGGATTGACGAGGAGAGAGATGAGCTGTTCAAAGTCTGAGCGATGTTGATAGGGAAGCAACGGCCCACAATAGAACACATTCAACAAAATTGGATTCCGTACAGATCATGACGATAACTACGTTTACGGGCCCATTTCGATTATTCTTATTTTATTATTATTATTATGAAGAAGCTACAGTATTTAGCTCATCAATAATGTTGCTTGTATGTTCGTTTAATTATTGAATTATATTGAGATAGTATAGGATTTCAAATTTACTTGCTTTTATAGGCATAACGAATTTACTGCTATATATGTGTGTATGTGAGCGTGAATACACTGGTGTAAGATTATAAACTTATAACTGTATAGGTACTATTTTTAGGATGATAAAAACATGCATGTACATCATGAACCTACGTAAGAAGCATGCATATATGTTATCTGTTTCAGATTCCATATTATTCATCATTAATATTCTGAAAATAATATGTTTTATTCCATTATTGTATATTGATTTTTGTCTTTGTCATTAATAATTATGTATTTTGACTTAATTAATCGGTATATTCTTCTTGTCGCCGTCAACTCAGTGATAGTTAAAATATATAAATATATATATATATATATATGTGTGTGCGCTCGCGCGCGCTTTGTGAGGGATTGAATACATGCGGAGGAAGTCATTTTAAACAAGCCAAGAGGCATACATACCACGAAGCCTAATCTCGTAATTAGGTAATTCTTGGTTTACAAATACATTCAGTTTAACACTATAATAATGTTTTTATCATCATAAACTGTCATTTTTCCGGATATTTAATATTAGTTCTCTTACCTTACAGTGAAGTTTCCAAAATTTGACAGTAGTCATGCAAATCTGCCATATCATGCATTAATAATTCGTGTCACGACCATTATATCAACGGGTCACCACCCCCCACACCACAAATTTCTTGTTGAAATGTATTTTTTTTCATCATATCAAGCCAACAAGGTAACAACAACAAATTTGGAAAATGGTTTCATGTACTTATCCGAGCGTAGTGAAAAAGACAAGAAGCCATGTGCAATAACTCTGTTTTATTTTATCTTCTTGTAACCAAAAAAGAAAACAAAAAAAAAGTTATTTATTAAGTGTACATGTGTTATGTGTATGTATGCAAAACAGAAAAGGAGAAGAAGAGGAAACCGTAGGGACCAAAACAACGAAAGTGGCACAAAATGGCAAATGAAATGTGACATTTGATTTGTATCTGGTTGGTCGACATTCCTTCTTCTATATACATCCAACTTCCAATAAAATCGAAATAACAAAAAAAAAAAAAAAAAAAAGAGTGAATTGTCGATCTTTTTTTTTTTATATAACATTGGCATATATATACATGGAGATTTTGAACACGACAGATGTATCTCTTTTGTATTTTGAGTTCGACACGCCAAGTCCAAGATGATCTTCTAGCTAAGTCTTTTTTTTTTTTTGTGGAACCAAACTGTTTCCACCCAAAACTGTTTGAGAATGTTCGATTTTTACCTATCTACAAATCCAATTCCCCTCTTCTTGTATTGTAACTAAACATACGCCAAAACCATTTGAAACCGATATCTACAACTTTTTTGGTTCATTTTTTTTTCACCTATCTTTTTACATATCCATTAGAAATTCATTTTGTTAAATTCTATTTTTAGACTTAGAAAGATAAATATATAGTCAACCCTATTTAATTATTTATTTAAACCATATATAGTAGTCTGTCTGGTTAGCATGCAGAAGCAGAACTATGGCGAAGGGGCCACGCAAGCCTACTAATTTGGTGGTCACACATTCTCTCGCAAGCCAGACTAATTTTTAGATTTTCTTCTTCTTCTTCTTCTTCTTCTTCTGTTTTTTTTTTTGTCTGTCATTCGAAAATTAGTTATAACAGATAGAAAAGAAAAAAGCAATTATCCAACGAATAAACGTTTGTCTAAGCAAATATGCGACAAATGAGGAGACGTAGGAGAAAATCCTCTTTGGCCAAATCGAAGACCCAAAAACGAAAAAAATATAAATGTCTTCTCTCTTTCGTGCCAAACAAGAAACCTCAGAGAAACCATGAATAGCGTCTTTTACATCCTGAAACCTCTCTGCAATAACAATAAGGTGAGACACTTTTCCTGCCTTTACCTCGAATGTTGTATGATTTAGGTTCGGGTTCAGCTTCAAACGAATATACATTCAAAACTGGTAAATACAACAAAGTTTTTTTCCTATGACGATCACTGATGACTTTATTATAGACTCTTGCTTAGTTTGCTTTAATCAATCTGAAATGTGTTTCAATGGTTTCGTCAAATGTGCAACATTATTCGTAATTAGAGCTAAGACTGTATCTTTTCTTTTTTTCATTTCAGGTCGAGGATATTCTCTAGCCTACATGTGCCGCAGTTAAAAACATCACAAAAGGTTAGATCCCTTAGGATGTCCTGAATCAAACATTCTACTTTCTTCTTTCTTTCTTTCTTTTCTCTTAACATCTTGTGGTTAAAAGAATCTATCATTGAATATCTCTCTATCTAAGCTGATTGATGGCTGAGGAGACCGTACGTTTGCCTAATTCACCGGATGTAAACAGATCATGGAGAAGGATTTCTACTGGAAAACTCAGTTTTCTATACAGCCAAGACAAGATTCTTCCTAACTATCTCAGATCACCGACTAGTTCTTGTCATGATGTCTGCAAATATGGAAGCAAACATGAATCTGAGGACAACAAGCCAAGAGTTTCACCTCTCAAAAGGATTACCAGAAGATTTTCTGGAACCATAAACTTTGATTCACCATTGAGGAAGAAGGCATTTACCAAATCGGTGTTGAGTTCTTCTTTTGGTTCTGTAAAATGTGATTCTGTTGGTGGCTCTGATCATGCTAAGACCGAAGTTAGAAGCTTTTCTAGCAACGGTTGTGACGATGTTAAGAAGAAGAATGAGGTACATAAAACAAATGAAAAGGTGGCGTCGACTAAGAGAAAGAAGAAGAAGACGTTCTATGAATCTCCCGGAAGAGCTTTATCAAGATCTAAAGAGAAGGTTGAACAAAACAGGCGTGTCACTGCTTTGAAGCTTAAATCTGTTGCAGAAACAGCAGCGATAGCTCTTCGGAGAAGTACTGTGAATAGAAAGAAGATGAATGGTGAATCTAATTCTGCTGAAACAAAGAAGGCAGTTGTGCCTTTTAGAGTCTCAATATCCTCAAAACGCTGTTCTCGATGCTTGAGGACAAAGAAGGAGAGTAGTAGCTTGAGAGTTCCTCTAATGAAAACCAAGAAACGTGTGGATGAGCAGTGTAAAGACTTGGTTGAAGAGAGAACACTCTTTGTTATTAAGATGGAAACAGGGGATGATCAGAACCAAATGTGTGTCGTGGATTCAGCAACTGATGATCTAAATAGCGAAAAGAGCCAAGAAGAAGCTGAGTGTATTGAGAGTGAAACTGATGATGAATCTTCTCAAGAAGAGGAAGAATATGAAGGTGAGAATATGATGTCTTTCTCTGAAGATAACAACACACAAGGGCAAGGAAAAAGCAGAGCCCTCTCAGCAGAATCCGCTAAATTGGTGAAACTGAGAATCAAAAGAGAAAAGATTATAGATTTTGGATCACAAGGCAATAGTCCAAGAAAGCTCAAGTTCAAAAGAGGAAAAGCCGTCACTGGAGCTGACACAAACTCTAAATCTGGTGGTAGGAGACGCTTAAAGACCAAAGAAACCAATTTGAACAACGACGAGGAACAACACAAACCTAGAGTTGTTCTGAAACACCAAGACTCACAGAAGAAGAGAGATTCAAGAGTGCTATTGTTTAACAATGTGATTGAGGAAACAGCTAATAAGCTTGTGCAGACTCGCAAGAGCAAAGTAAAGGCTTTAGTGGGTGCCTTTGAGTCTGTCATATCTCTCCAAGAAAGGACGTCTTCTGCAACAACATAAAAACATCAAAGATGATACCATTCTCAAACCAACCTCGAGCCATATGTAATTGTTTCTTTCTTTCACGGTGTTTATGCATATGTATGTAATGTCAACATATGTAGGATGTATAAGAGTGCAATGACTAACACAACACTATGTCTAATCAAATGTCTAAAGGTTATTGTGACACAAAAGATTAAGAAAAAGGGTGTGTTTTAAGATTTGTAACTAAAGGTTACAATCTGTGAGTAGCAATAAAAACTAGGGGCTGCAAAAAGTAATATAAAAACTGAACCCCACGGTCACGCCGTCCTTTAAATTGCCATTGACTATCTAGATTCTTTTACCCACGTGTCATATTATAATTGGTTATTGTGGTTTTCTTCTATCACAGACAGTCACAGTACCACTCCTGGAATTAATTTTATATTTTTCCTTTCTTCTCTGCTCCATGGATGGGAGTAAAAAATATAAAAATTAAAGCTTTGAGATTTCTTTCCTCAATTGATATCTCTCCGCGAATTGGTCCTTGTTTGTTTGCTTCTGCCAATCTAGTTTTGCTTCTGGAATCTGAGAGCTTTTTGTTTCGGAGTTTTCGAGGTTCCTCATTCGTTGCTTCCTTTCAAATTCTCTTCCTTATTTTTGTTTCCAACCTCTAAAATGCCCTAAATTTCAGGTTCTAGTTGCGGTTTCTGGGATTAGGAGCAGAAGCCCTTTCTATCAAAGTTCGTATGTTTGTTGAAGTGTATCCTTCTCAGTTCTGTTCTGGTAAAGTTCTTCTCTTTTTCACTCTTTTTAAAAGATCTTTTGTTTTTTTGGTTTGGTGGCGTTTCTCCAGTGGTAAATTTGGGGACTAGAAATGAGTTTTCAGGAGATGATTTTAGGTTTCGGATTAGCTAGATTTTGGATTGGAGTGTTGTTGTTTTTGTTGTGGTCCTATTAGATAGATCTGAGTTACATTGTTTTATGTGTTGCGCCTTGGAAGTCTTAGGCTACTTCGACTCCATTTCTTATTGATGGTGATGTAGGACTCGTTACTTGGAATATTGGTCTACCGATGATAAGCGTTTTTATACTAGAGCTGATCAGATTAATCTGAAAACTTAACTGCTTCTCTTAGCATCATATTCGGATGTAAAAGAGACTTCATTGAATCATAGTAAACAGAAGGTAGTTCCCGTTAGACTCTGTGTGGTTTGTAAATCTGTGTCAAGGATACTTTTTTTTGTATTGGTTTTTGATGCTTCTTATGTTTTTTTAGTTTCGCCATCCATCTAGCTTTGCTCAATTCTTCTTCTTCTCCTGCAAGCTCTCTCTCTCTCTCTTTCATATTCTCTGTATGTTTTGGTTGTTGTTTTTGTAAATCTATCAATTCCTTGGCATTAGAAGTTGTTTGCTAATGTATCTCAAGTGTATTGGATCACTTGGGAAGTAACGGATCTCTGTTTATCTCTCTGCAGTTGGAAGCTCTATGTGGTTCCTTCTCTGATTGATACGTAGAGAGAATGATCTTACCAAAGCAGTATCATTGCACACACTCCCCGAGCTGCCAGTGCACTAAAGGCCATTTAAACGAAGATGTCTTGCTGTTAGTGTTCCAACATTTGAATTGGAATCCGAAATTAGTTGCAACACTTTCCTGTGTATGCAGATGGTTTGATGATTTCGCTAAAAGGGTACTGTGGAAAGAGTTTTGCAAGACTCGTGCCCCCAAAATGATGCTTGATTTGCAATCTAGCGGTAGTCACTGCATTGACGGTAACTGGCGAGCCCTTGGGAAGCTTCTCATATACTGCTCAGGATGTACACAAGGCGGTCTATTCAATAGCTCTGTTCAAATCCCGGGACACTTTGTTTACAGAACCCGATTCTCCAGAACATTGGGAAGAAGCCTGCTTCCGCCTCAATGTAGAACTGATGTACTCTACGTTTGTGATCCATGTGAGCATCTTGACCAAGGAGAAGAAGGCGACGTGGGTTTGTTCCGTGGGATTTTTAAGTCATTCCCAACATCTAAAGTCCGGAAAGTGATCATTAACAAGGCAGTTCCTTTTCATCCGTCCGAGGTTTGCCCATACTGTAAAGCTAAGCTGTGGAGCATGCTACAAGCTAAGATAATACCTCAGAGCGCCTGCATTCGTTTGGAAGCTTATGAAGACTGCATTGAGTATTTCGTTTGCCTAAATGGACACTTGCTTGGTATATGCACTCTCGCTCCTTTGTCTGATTCAGAGGATGCAAATCCAAGCGAAGATGGCAATCACATGGAGAAGAAACAAGGTACTATACAAGTCCCACTCACTCCGGCACCTTACAAAAGAGCTTTTTTGTCTGACGACAACAGCTAACTTTATTTTGTTTGTTTCTCTTTTTTGGTGTTCTGCAGACAGTTACTTTCCTAAAGAAAACATATTGAAAAGGAGAAATTCTTTGTTGGGTGGAAGTGAAAATGGACCTTCGCCTCAAAAACGACTGACCAATCCGAATCAATGCAACATTGATGTGTGAAAGATTCTGTAAATTTGTGTACTTCTGCTAAATCTATTGCATCTGTGGAGATTCTTCATTTATATACAGTCGAATTATAATCAACAATTTCCATAATCTTTAGATATTTGAGACATCAGTGCAAATGACTCAGCAACTTATGATTTATATAAACTCACATTGAGATAAATGTTATCAGTATACTAAAAGTTCTGTACTAAAAAGTCTTGACATTTTCACTTTTTAACTGCTCTGTTTTGAGAAAGCTTCTTCTTCTTGTTCAGCACCTGCTGTTTCTGACTCGATCTTTTTGAATATGAGCTTATGCTGAGGTAACTGGCCGTTGGAGAATGCTGTGACCTCCGTATCGATCAAAATACCATCTTCTTCCTTGAAATCTCCTCTCAAGATACCTTTAGCAAGCTCGTTCTCAATGTTTTGCTGTATCACACGCTTAACAGGTCTAGCTCCATAATTTGGATCATACCCGAGGCTTCCCAGAAGATCAACTGCTGCATCTGTAATGTTTATCTTCATTTTTCTGTCTGCAATTCGCTTCTGCACACGTGCCAGCTGTAGAAAGAAAAATTCAGTGAGGTTCTAAATAACATAACTCTATAATTCCTTGGAAGATTATCAACTTTGATCAAATCCATTTTACTACAGTCTAATCTTTCTCAAATCTGTGAAGAGATAGCGAAGAAGTAATCTTTTGAATGCATTAGAATCAAGTAAATCATACTTCTAAGATGGAAAATAGTTAGCAACAGATGTCAAACTATTCACTGACGAACATCTGAAAGCAATATCTTCCAATCTAGCTATCTAATTAACCTAATTCTAACTGCCTTCAAAGGCTCCAACAATGTTACCAGCATAATCAGTTTTGCAAATTTTCCAAGAAAAGAAAACATACCTGTAACCGGACAATTCTGTTGATCTGTTCGCGGTCAAGAGGTTGGAACACTATATACTCGTCAACCCTATTCATGAATTCAGGACGAAAAACTGATCTTGCAGCATTCATTACTCTCTCTTTGATTGTTTCATATGGGAGCTCATTTGCATCATCATCTGTGTTGTTCAGAATAAACTGCGAACCAACATTCGAGGTCATAATAATAACAGTATTGGTGAAACTCACTGTACGTCCTTGAGAATCTGTGACTCGCCCATCGTCCAAGATTTGGAGAAACACATTGAAGACATCTCCATGAGCTTTCTCAATTTCATCAAAGAGGATAACCGAGTAAGGCCTTCTTCTAACTGTTTCCGTTAATTGTCCGCCTTCTTCATAACCAACATATCCAGGTGGAGCTCCAATGAGTCTAGACACAGCATGTTTCTCCATGTACTCACTCATGTCGATTCTTACTAAAGCTTCTTCCGTGTTGAATAAATAAGAAGCAAGTGCTTTGGCTAGTTCAGTTTTACCAACACCGGTTGGTCCCATAAACATGAAACTAGCTATTGGACGGCCTGGATCTGAAAGTCCAGCTCTTGATCGTTGGATCGCTTCAGCTACCGCGGTCACTGCTGGATTTTGACCGACTACCCGTTTATGCAATTCTTCTTCCAGATGTAAAAGTTTATCTCTTTCGGATTGTTGAAGCTTTGATACAGGGATGCCAGTCCATTTACTCACAATCTCAGCAATATCACTACCCAAAACCTCTTCTCTAAACATAGATTTCCCGGAGCTTAAGTATTCATTCAGCTCCTTCTCTGCATCGTTTAGCTGTCGCTGCAATGAGTTTAAGCTTCCGTATTTGAGCTCTGCTGCACGGTTTAGATCGTATTCACGTTCCGCTTGCTGAATCTCAAGGTTAACTCGATCAATCTCCTCTTTAATCGACTGAAGACGGGACATAACAGACCTCTCGTGCTCCCACTGTTCTGTTAACTCAGCTTGCTTCTCCTTTAGTAAAACTAATTCTGTTTCGATTCGATTCAATCTCTCTCTAGAAGCTTTGTCTGTATCGTTAGTGAGCGAAAGCCTCTCCATTTCAAGCTTTATCACCGCACGGTCAAGCTCGTCAAGAGCTGTCGGTTTCGAAGTGATTTCCATTTTCAATTTGGCTGCCGCTTCATCAACCAAGTCAATTGCTAGAAAACCAAATGCCAAATCAGTAAGTAACACTCTCTATTCAATGAAGATAATCAAATAAAATGGTAACAGCAAAGTATCAACCTTTATCGGGTAGAAACCGGCCACTGATGTAACGGTCTGAGAGGATAGCAGCTTCCACTAGAGCACTATCTGAGATACGAACTCCATGATGAAGTTCATACCTTTCCCGCAACCCTCGGAGAATTGAAATCGTGTCTTCAACCGTAGGTTGATCGACATAAACCTGTTGAAACCTACGTTCCAAGGCAGGATCTTTCTCTATGTATTTCCTATATTCATCAAGCGTTGTTGCACCAATACATCGTAACTCGCCTCGACCCAGCATTGGTTTCAGCAGATTACCAGCATCCATCGCCCCATTAGTTGCACCTGAAAGAAAAAGAATCAGACTTCCTTGATAAATCATTGCAAGGAAAAAGTTTGAACTATTTCCATACAAACAAAAGATGTTGCATACCTGCTCCAACAACTGTATGTATCTCATCGATAAACAAAATGATTTGGCCTTCCGAGTCTGTGACTTCCTTAAGTACAGCCTTTAGTCTATCTTCAAATTCTCCACGATACTTCGCTCCAGCAATGAGAGCACCCATATCCAGAGATATCAACTGGGAAGAAAACAAAGAAAGATTCAGTCAGTTGTTATCCACATTGTTAAAAGCAGAGAAAGAAAAGCTTGATAAGTAGTTGAATACCTTTCTGTTCATCAATGCTTGAGGTACATCTCCTTGCACAATTCTTTGAGCAAGTCTGTTTCAAAAGTGGGGATGTAATATCTTAGCATTAAAATTTACAACAAATGTATGAATTGATTTTTAAAATTTCATGGTTTGATGAAATTACCCTTCTGAAATTGCGGTTTTACCAACACCTGGTTCACCGATCAACACAGGGTTGTTCTTTGTTCTCCTCGAAAGAATCTGAATGCATCTACGGATCTCGTCATCTCTACCAATCACAGGATCTAGTTTTCCTTCTCTTGCCATTGCTGTCAAGTCTTTTCCATACTTCTCCAATGCCTCATACTTGCCTTCCGGATCTGTAAAACATAGTGATTAACACTCTCATCAACTACATATGAAATAGACTTTTAGCTCTCAAGCTCAAATGTAGTTACAAACCTTGGTCAATGACTGATTGTTTCCCTCTGATGGACAGAATTGCAGTTTTTAAGCTCTTCTCTGATATCTGAAAATCCTTAAACAACTGTTTTCCAAACCGCTTATCATCAGCAAAAGCAAGAACCAAATGCTCCACTGACACATAAGAGTCTCCTAAATCTTTCTTAAACTGTCTTGCTCTTTGAAACAGACCTTCCAGATCACGTCCCAGCATCGAACCAGCAGCATCTCCATACACCTGAAGTTGAAAACTAAAATTCTCATCAGCCTCCACACAAACAACAACCACAAACTTCAACCTTTAAAGAAGACACTAATTACCTTTGGTTGGCGTTGAATGAACTTCTCTGTTGATTCTAGAACCTTAGTGTTATCCACACCGATCTTAGAGAAAATCCTGCGAGCCAAACCATTCTTCTGCTCCAGAAGAGCTTTCATTAGATGCTCTGTCTCCACAATCTGTTGCTTATTCTCCTTCGCAACATCTGGCGATGAAACTATCGATTGCCACGCCATTTCTGTGAACTCTTGCTGCGTGAGCTGTACAAAGCAAACAACATAGAACCAAATTTAGCAATCTAGTATAGAAAAAAACCTTAACGAGTGTTGGCACCCACTCCAGATTCACGAAGCTAACGAATACTTAAAAGTCTCAGTACAAATCAAAACATAAAGTTTCAGACTTTACCCTTCCATTCGAAGAAGAAGCTTCACATCGGACAACGAAAGGCCGATGCTCAAGCCGTCGCGTGAGCCTCGCGCTCTGCTTTAATTTAAGAGCTTTAAAAGAATTGGGATTCGCCGGAAAAGCCACAGAAGGTTGAAGATGAGAAAACGAAGGAACCCTTCGAGTCTCCGTTCCTACGCCGACCACACCAGTAAACGCCGCCGTAGCAGCCGTCGTAGCCGTCGCCATTAGCTCGGAGAATTGAAAAACGGCAAGCAACTAACAAAGGAAGATCAAACACAACAGGTAGTTTAGCACAAATTCGCCAAAACGGCGAGATGTTTACTTAAGAAATCAGCAAAGATGACGCTTTTTTTTGCTTTCTCGTGTAGTTAAGCTAGCGAGAACCAGGAAAAGGTGAAGCAGAAATATAAAAAACAGAGAAGAAGAAGTTGCTAAACGACGCCGGAGGCTTCGTGAACCCTCGGGATGAGGTGCCCAACTACGTACTTTAGACCTTCTTCTGACACGTGTTCCCTCACGCAAATATAGGATTTTACCAAGTACAAATAACATGAGCCGTCCAAAGACAAAATAATATAATTCCCGAAATTTGGGCCGTTGATAACGAGATCGGCCCACAACGACTGTTAACTAAACTAATCACTCGCAGGTACAGTACGTGGCGTGAACGTTCCGATGATAATTATTACCGACTTCACTTTTGCTCACGTAGCGCGTGAGCAAGTTATGAATTTCTCGTGAAAACTAACAAGGTTTACGACTCTGCTGTACAAAAGAAAGAATAAGCCAACCATTGAAAACAAAACCACGCATTATGTTGAGTTATATCCGTGATAGTACACTTATCAGTGCAAATTTGTGTTCTGTTTTCTATGATTCCAGTGTGTTATGAATCAGAGTTACATCAGAAACCAAAACCTCAAGCGATCAAAAAGCCAATGGTGTCACCAAAAAAAAAAATTACAAGAAAGAAAAAAAAAGTATTGAAGAAGGCTCAAGAACAGAATCTGAATCTCCCAAGCTCTTTAACTCTACTTGTTCTTACACTTTTGTTAACACCGAGCTCCAAAACATAAACAGACACATTTGTTCTGTTTCTTCACTTCACCTTTAGGCTTCTTCTTCTTTTCTGTTTGAACCATTACTCATTAGCAGAACAAAAGATCTCAGACTCTCATACAAACACATAACCTTGACAAATGAGGTTATCAAACAGCAAGAACAGTCCTTCAATATTATCAATAACTTTCTATCAAGATTCTAAAAGTTTTTAGTAAAAAGGAAACTAAAGATTACCTTTTTCAGTAACCTGATGTTGAATTATAACATGCATTGTGGTGACAGCACCTGAAAGATTACATACAGGACTCCTGCAATCTCCAACCGTCTTGTTGTTCTCCAATATTCTACCTGCGCTTATCAATTTCACATCTTTCACCGTCTTTGGCCCATTCTCCTTATCTGCTCAAACTCATACAACCGAGCAAACGGATGATCACAGTGAGGTTTGACTCTGGTTTTGATATTATCACAGAAGTAGGAGGAGAATAAAGAAAGCAAAACTAGCATCTATCCATGGAGAAGTGAGAAGGTGTTCCTGTTAAGTCTAGTGCATGAATAATGTAACTAGCCTAGGAGTAGTTCAGGGTGTCTACTGTTGTCAGTTCAGTAACAAACCCTAGCAGTTTAAAGCAAAGCTAGAGCATTCTTGATTGGTCTACAATGTGGGCAATGGGGAGATTGTAGAGTTGTAGAGAAAATACTCTCTCATTTGTTTCACTTCAGATTCAAACTCTTCCTAGGGTTGGTCAATGATTCTTCTAGAGAACAGTGAGTCAAGGATCAACGAAGAGGGCAATGAGTTTTTGAACCTATCAAGAGGCTTAAGATGAAAGCAATGCAATCCTTAAGTCTTAACTCTTAACCATTCTGGTCATGGAGAAGACACTGCCAGACCGATAAAGCTTTTCTATACAAATTATATCAGTGCATAAGATGAATCTCAAACATGCGAAGCAGAGTAAAAGCATAGACTACTGACCTTTTGGCCACTGAGCAACAACAGTTTCCTTCAATGTTGCAACGGTTGTAGCATCAGGAAACGGTTTAGGACCGATATCTGAACCATCAGTTAGCCGGAACCTAATCTCTAATTGATCCTTCACCTCGGCCATATATATCTCTCTTAACAAGAACTCAAAAACCAGACTGACTTAGTATCAGGAAGTTCCACAGAAGCACCAACCGAGAATGGGAACTTAAAATATCTATATAAAAAACCTCGTTGCTTGAATCTTATCTGCAATGACACAAGAACAAATTTTAAACAGCCAAGAAGTGATAATGTCAGTAAGAAGAATAAATATTTTCTGCAGCTCAAGTCTGACTATGAAACCTGAAGCTTAATGAATTGATGATTGATCTTAAATGAATAATATAAAAGCATTGATCAAATGATATGAATTCAAAGAAGAAATCGCAAAGATCATCCATCATCTGTTGACGATTTGATCATGTATAGTATTATCTCCAAAAGGGTATCCGCTAAAAGCAATCAACAATACAAATAACTCAATTTGGGTATTAGGTTAACCCGATCGAACAAAAAAAAAACAAAAAGAAGAACCCTAAAATGGTGGTCTTACTTGGGTCCGCGACTGATCTGAGTTTGAGGAATCAGAAGGATCTTGCGAACCTCACATCACCAGACTTGAGCAGAGAGGGAGAGGGAGAGGGAGGGAGAGAGACTAAGGAAATGAAAATGAAGGTGATGAGATCTTGAGAAATCAATTTGCAGCCAAATGTTCCATTCCTTTCTGTCCTTCTTCCCATCTCTGCGCCAATTAAAATGCTCTTCTTTTTCAATTTTCCATTTTTTAAAAAATATTATTTTTAATTTATTACTAAGATTGTATGATTGTATCATCAAATTGCTCTGTGGACGTATGATCTAATTATATTAAGGAATCCCAAGACTTTTACATTCAAAAGCTTTTGTTTTTTTGTTTTTTTTGTGTATTAATTGCTAATCATTTTAACGTTGGCTCAGATTATCTAATGATCTCAACAGATTACATTAAAAATTACAGCTTGAAATGCTTCTGAAGCTGAGAAACAAAAACATATACATTTGTAAAGAGTAAGATCGTTTCATCGGAATCCATAAGTGAAATTGTGAAAAATGATGAACGAAAATGATATAATAAGCAATGTTTGGAGTAAGAATGTATAATTTGTTTGTTCCTCGATTATCAACAACTGGCTTTTCTGGTCATGACCCCCTCTCTTAATATATAACCAGAAAAAAAAGACATATATAAACCCAATCTTTCCCATTTCTTATAAAAAAGATTCAAGAATTGGATCCCTCCAATCGAAACCGAAAGAATTTTCAAAAAAGGGTACCTTCTATTTTACAGAAAGAATGATTCTTTATCTCTCTCTCTCTTTCTCTTATGCAGCTTCCCCTTCGCTGCAACAACGTTTCTTATGTATGTGGTAAACTAAATTTCTGAATCTTCTTTTAGAGTGAGTGAGTAAACTCTGCCTGCAGTGGCTTCTATTCATCTCTGCTTTTCTATACTTCCTCTGTCTTTTACACCTGTAAGTGTACCTTCAGGATCATCTAAAGGTTTTGCGTTGCTACTCCAATATATGACAATTCTTTATAAAATCATTGGAGTAGTTGACGTATTTTGTCCAGAACGGCCGAAGATGCTCAAAACCAATCTCGAGCCATGGCTTCGACTGCCCATTGTAGTGGATCACTGCAGCTTTCTTCACATTATCAATGTTGGTCATGTTCTGATAGCCCAATCCAAGCATATGCCATGATGAGTCTATTATGTGGACGTGCCCCTTGAACGCGATAAGAGCAGGGGGCAGGGTTCCAAGCTTCCACATTGTCAGATTTGACTTTAGATTCTGCTCAAAATCAGAAGCAAACAGAGTAGGATAGTGAGGTAACTTGAGATATCTGATCAAAAATAACAGGTGCGTAGGCTTCTTGGGTAGTTACCTCTCTAAGCCAAGAGTGATACGTTTCTCTGATGTTTGTCTTCCTCCAAGCTTGTAGATCAAAGACATTCATACCATATGCCCAAGCACATTCTTCGGGATCTAAATGCTTTGCAATGAGCGGGTGAGAGAAATTGAAGTAATTCCTTAAACGCTTTGACATCACCCATTCATCTTCACCCCGGCAAGTTTCTACCGCTCCATTGACCTTACCACCAAGGTCAATATCCCAAAGCGGAGTCAAGTCTCCTTGAACAACTATATCATCGTCCAAAAATACCACCTTCTCCAAGTTCGGGAACAGCTACTCCAAACAAAAGAAAGATGACATTTGCAAATGATTTTAGAATTCGCTTGAGTACTATTGCAAGTTTAAACAAGGGGATAAAATTTTACCTCTGGGATATATATTCTAAGATGGTTGAGCAAAGATATGTATTTTGGACTTCTAGACTGCAATTTTGAAGCAAATGTTCGAGGGGTTGTTTCGGTGAGGTTTGCCCCAGCGACATGATTCCCATGATAATAGTTCCTGACACCATTATGGCTTTCAACAGCTTCCAAAACCGGAACATTTTCTCTCGTCAACCAGTCAAACTGATGAACACCTTTAACCTCAACGATAGCTGGTGCAACAGAATTTAGCGCAAACCATGAATGCATACCCGCATATGTTTTCTTGTCTGTGATGATGTGAAAGACAATTTTCTCGGGTTTTGAAGATGACTGAACAGCGGATGAGACCACAACTGAGGCAGCCAAAATATTGTCCGTGGACAAAATAAAATGGTGGTAAGCATTATCTGAAAGAACAGGGAGAAACTCTGGTGAAGGAAGCTGTCTACGAGCATGGGCATTGGAGGAATATTCATCTGTCAGTCTTAGAGAGAGACAATGAATGCCTTTGGGTATGGAACTTGCTGCAAAGTGCTTGTTCATAAGTTCTGCAAATTTTGATTCCCTCATATCCCGTTCAAACTTCTCCATCTGTTCAAGATAAATAAAAACACACATATGATAATCTTCCAATTGATATGGCTCCCTTTAGAAAGCAACAAGAACTGTCAATATGCAGAAAGGGAAACCAGCTTAACAATTTCAAGGGCCACAGATAAATGTAACAGATTTTCCATCTAAACAAAAACAAATGTCATTTTGATGTAGGATCAAAAATAGTTTCAGATCAGACAAAGCGTACCATTGCTCGTAGCACAAGAGCAAATGTTTTTGCATCATAGTGGTTATTCTTCATATCCGAGACAAGTTGACTAAAAGAATATGGGAGCTTCAAACCATCTGGAATTTCTTGAGTGCTTACTTCGTTTAGAATTTTATAAAAGTCTCTAGCTAGTCTCTGCAGCAAGAGAAACATGAAAAATTATATTATTTAAGAATATGAAAAGATACTGAAAATTAGCCGACTAAAGAAAGAAACCACTCACCTCTGAATCATCTACCCTACCAAGAAGACGTGGACCTATCCGCCTCCCTAAACAATCTGAAAGTAAGAAGAAAAGTGAAAGAAAGTTTATTGAGAGCGTCACAAGAGCACCGGGAAGAAACATGGACGTTGATCATTAAATTGCAATTAACACCGATCTTGAATGGAAAACCTCAATAAATGAACATACTAAACCACATAGTTATAGAACCGAGATATACCCAAACAGCATATCGATAAACATAAAAGTAAAAAATTTCATAAGAGTAATTCAACTAGGTTCAAATCTAGTAATGCTGAGAAGTATGTAGGTTATATACTCAACACGAACAAACAAGGAATTCTGCAAAAGAAATCATTCAGCTCCACAATCCAACAAAAATGCATTGATAGGGAAATGTGAGAAACAGATTATGAAAATTATATGTACTCCTAACAATTAGGGTAGTACAGCTCTTTGAAAACCAAGATCCTACAAAATTCATTAGTGGGGACCTAACAAGAAGAATCCAAAATCAACCAAACTGTGTTGACTTGAGCCAATCCTAGTACCTAGCATCACCATTGGATCCAACAAAACTAGCAAAATGAAAACTTTTCGTAAGCATGACAAAATCCAGAAGCAAAGGAAGATCCTAAACGGTCCACGGAGAGACAAGCCACAACAGAGAATCCTAAAGTTAGCTAATCCGCATCAGAAAAGTCGAGATCCGAACCAGTTAAGATGAAGAAGAGAACAAAAAATAAAATAAAAAAGAAGGTAATTTATACCGATGGAGGAGCATTTGTTGACACCTTCGAGGGTAACAACAGCGGTGAGGATGAAGACAAAAGGCAACAAGAAAGCGAGGATTAAGATGGTGTGGAAGAGAGTTCGGTAAGAGATGTGACGAGCTGCGACCTTGATCTTCATCAAGTCAATAAACTCATTGCTGCTCGAAATCGTGATGCTTCTCATGCTAGGCGATATGTGAAGCTGCATCCTCCTTGGTAGTGCAGCCCCACCACAGTGACAAGAGAAATCGAATCCGAGAAAGCCCTAACTCCTGACAGCAACAATCCCGAACCCAACATCAGATCCGATCAGATTCCGCCCCTCCGATCCCGATTTCTCACCGATTATCGATCTCAATTCCGTCTCTGTTCCGTTCCTTGTCGCAGTTCTTCTTCCTTGTGGTCTTCTCCCAGACCGCATTTGGATTTCAGACCACCAATGGAAGAATCAAAAATTCGAGATTCCCGCCTTACTCCTATGTTGATTTGCTTCAATTCAATCAAATTGAATACGAGAATCGAAATGGGGTTGCCTCAAATTCACGTCTTGAGCAGAGATTCGAAAGAGAGGTCTTCCTCACAGATCAAGAAACACAAAAATCAAAGAGCTGAGGAAGAAGAAATGAAACAAATGAGAGGAATAATAACGAGCTTCTTTTTTTGTTCTCAGTGATTTTGCCGGTGGATCTAAACAAATAATAATAATAATAATAATAAAATCAGAATAAATTAAAAATTAAGGAAAAAAATAATAATCATAATTATTTCAAGATCTAAAAATTATAATGAAAAAGATTAATTAATTTTTAAAAATGGGTGTCTTGACCTTGAGTTTAGGGCTTGTTTTATAGAGAGCTAATTATACATTTGTCTCCACCTATTTTCATGGCTAAGCAAGAGTTTTGCTTTTTCATCTTTCCTCTTAATTGATTCATATATAAACTAATTTTGATCAAAACATAATAATTACGAAAATTGACAATTAAACTGTTTTAAAAAATAATAATTATACTTCCAATTAAGATAAAAAGAAGCAAAAAAAATAGACCATCTCAACTGGTGTTTATTTAAAAGATATAAGAAGCAAAAAAAATAGACCATCTCAACTGGTTTCCAACAACAACAAAAAAAAAAAGTAAAAAAAAGAGACTTCTTATTTCTTTTTGAAAAATCTGATGTAAATACTTTTCTTAAAACTCATCATTAGACTAAAAGCTAAAAAAGAAAAGAGAAAAAATGCAACATTGTAAATTGACGGCGTCCACATAACAAATGACGTGAATTACAAGTGATTTGATTTCGTACGCAAGCTCTTTCAATTTAATGTGCTCAAAAGAAGAAATTTAGCAATTGGATTATATATTTACCTTTTTTGTCGAAATTATCATGGATTAAAATCTCATTAAACAGTATTTTTTTAAAATATATATATCTTAGCTGGTAGGTCCAATTTTTCACCATAGGTTATTTTTACGAAATTTAATTACAAAATACAGTTCTCTCTGTCGTTTTCGTTTAACGTATTATGAAATTCCAAAAAAAAAAAAAAAAAGTTGTTGTTATTATATTTGGTCAGGAAAAGTAGTTTATTTAATTTCATTTATATGCTCAAAAGTTTTGTTGAAATACCAAAGACACCGACCGACACATTCCATTGTGACTTTTCATATCGACCAAAATTGACCCGGACCGGAATCAAAACCCCGAGTTTCATTTCAAGGAAACAAGTGCTACAAACGAAACAGAGCAAAAAAGTCTCAAACTTAACTATCTACTATTTCGATTCAGAACAGCTACAAGAAACATCCCAATCTGTTTTCTCTCCACCAAGTTTCTCATGAAATTGTTAAAGCTCCAAGTACAATGGATTTTTTTTCCTCTCATCTAAAACAACAGAGCAAGAAAAGTCTCAAATTTGACTATCAGCTCCTATTCGAGAAAAACAGAGTTTCAGTTAAACTTGACTCCAACATCACTAACAGGAAGGAATTCCTCTGTTTTTCGAGTGTTTTCTCTTGCCATGCGACCACTTAAAGCATGAACCGAGCTGGAACTCCTTGAAAGGATGCTGCACTTGCCTGTCTTCTTCTCTTCGTCGTTGAGCATCTCACAGATTCATCCTCAGGTTCTACTGATTCCTCTCTGCAATCCTTCTTGTTCTTACTTGTGTTCATCCGATGAAACGTCTGATGACCTCCTAGTGCTTGATAAGACGAGAATACTTTGTTGCACAACCTGCATTGATGCTCAACGTTCTTCTTTTCAGGTTCAGCTATCATCTCAGTACACTCCATACCCCTTACTCCAAGCTCAGTTCTGTAAAGACCAGATTCAAAGTCACTGGCTTTGCAATGTTTCAGCTTATCCAGTTCATGCTTCTCTCCCAAAAAACTCATAGGTCCTTTGAATCTCACAGGAGGAGTAACCTCTTCTTCTAGATGTCTTTGCACCTTTCTCTCCTTCTGCTGATCCAATCTATTATCGTCACTCAAGAAGCTACCTGGTTCTTTCAGTGTTTCATAACTACTAAGCCCTTCTTCCATAAGTCTTTGTTCATTACTGAAATACCCAGATTCAAATTCACAACCTTTTCGCGGTTTCTTGTTGCGCAAACAACCCAAATCATAGCTACCTTTAGGTGTCTCAGGAGTAACATCTACTGCTTCAGATTCAAGTTTAAGTCCGTATAAGACCTTGGGACTACTCTTAGACAGTAGAATCAAACAATCCGCCACTTCTAACTCGTCATCATTCGCAACAAAAACAGAACGTGACTCAGAAAGTGAAGTCTTCTTGTACCTCATAAGGCTCGATCTTTTCTTCTTCCTCACACGACTGAAGCTACAACACAGACTCATCATAGATTCTTCATAAACCTTCTGGTTCGTCGACGAATGCATCACCGCTAGATGGTTCGAAAAACACTTTTCGTACCGGAACCCTTTTCCACATTCTTCGCATCTAAACAGAGTCTTCTTCATCGGCTCCGGAGATTTCTGGATTTTCTTCTTCGGGTTTTCCCTTAGACTGTAGTGACGCTGTTGGTTCGTAGATTCTTCTTTTTCTTCTCGTGACTGAGTAATCTTGAGATGTCGTAGAGCTCCATATATGGGTTTATCGAGATCTTGATGTTCTTCTTCCATTTAGGCGCGAAACACATGGGATTTGGTGATAAAGAAGAAGTCGATCAAGGTAACAATGAGGTAGATGATGTAGAGGCAGAGAAGGATGCAACAAACACAAGCCAGACTCATTATCAAAGAATCTATCAGATGAGGTGACGAAAAAGAAGGATCATACTCTGTTTCTCATCATTTTCCCGAGAAAACTGAGAAAGAAAGCGTCGGAGACAGAAAGAAGAAGATGAATAAAACGAAAGAAGTCTTTTGAGCTTCTGTGAGTTTGAGTTTTCGGGAGAATAAGGGAGCAAGGGGAATGAAGAAACGGATAAGATATATAAAGCACTGAACGAAGTACAGTTATGAAAGGGGTAGTTCAAGATTAGAGGGAATGAGAGCTTCAGTTTCGCCTAGAGGTTCACGCGTCGCAGCAGAACAATGTTGAGTTAAATAATACTAACTGAAGTAGAAATCAAACTTGTATATTATGTAAATAATACTCAAAAAGCTTACAATATTTGATAACCCAAGGTACATAATTACCAACAAAAACCAAACCTAAAATCTCTGTTGGAATTCATATCAAAACGACAATTATTGATCAAAACATAGTTAAAGATATATGAAAAAAAACTCATGAGAATTCGGAAAAAATATGGAGAAAAAGCTAAGGAAAAGGTTTGGTTGTTTAGGCAAGAGCAGGCATGTCCTTGAGCCACTGGTCCAATGGCTTACCAATGGAGTAAACAATGAACCCAATCTTCCTGAGTTTCTCAGCGTCGACGACGTTTCTACCGTCGAAAACAAAAGCTGGTTTCTGCATGTTCTCAAAGATCTTTTCAAAGTCGAGTTTCTTGAATTCGTCCCACTCGGTTAAAATGCAGATACCGTGAGCGTCTTTGGTTGCATCGTATGCGTCCCAAACGACTGAGACTTGTTTCACAGTGGTGGGACTCATGGGCTGGAGATGAAGCGGGTGGTCCCAGTCGAATTTGTTCATGGTTAAGTCTCTTTGGATCTGCTCCTCAGTGACTTGTGGGTCGTAGATGCTGAGACGAGCTTTGTCACCTAACAGACCTTTGCAGACATCAATGGCTGGAGTCTCTCTAGTGTCTCCTGTGTCTTTCTTGAAGGCAAAACCAAGAACCGCAATCTTTTTGTTGGAGACTGTGTTGAACATTGAAGAGACGATGCGGTTAACAAATCGGGTTTTCTGGTAGTCGTTGATCTTGATGACTTGTTTCCAGTACTCAGCAACTTCGGGTAAGCCGTTGCATTCACAGATGTAGACTAAGTTGAGGATATCCTTCTGGAAACAGGATCCACCGAATCCGACACTTGAGTTCAAGAACTTGGGGCCAATCCGAGAGTCTTTGCCCACAGCGTAAGAGACCTCAGAGACATTGGCGCCAGTGGCTTCACAAAGAGCAGACATTGCATTGACTGATGAGATCCTCTGGGCTAAGAAGGCGTTAGCAGCAAGCTTGGAAAGCTCAGCGGACCAGAGGTTGGTGGTGAGGATTCTCTCTTCAGGTACCCATTGGGCATAAACATCTTTCAAGGCTTTGACGGCTGCAAATCCTTCAGGTGTTTCCCGACCACCGATGAGGACACGGTCAGGCATGAAAAGGTCTTCAATAGCGGTTCCTTCAGCAAGGAACTCAGGGTTGGAGAGAATCTGGAATTTGATTCCTTTGCTGTTGTGTGTAAGAATCTTCTCAATTGCCTCAGCAGTTTTGACAGGCACAGTTGATTTCTCAACAACAATCTTGTCAGAAACGGAAACATCGGCGATCATACGAGCAGCGCTCTCCCAGTAAGTCAAATCAGCAGCTTTGCCAGCTCCAAGACCACGGGTCTTAGTCGGGGTGTTGACAGAGACAAAGACAATGTCAGCCTCTCTGACATGTTTCTCAACATCGGTGCTGAAGAAGAGATTCTTTCCACGGCACTGCTTAACAACATCATCAAGACCAGGCTCATAGATGGGGAGCTGATCGCTGTTCCAGGCAGTGATCCTTGGCACAGAGATATCAACAACGGCTACTTCAACAGATGGACACTTAAGAGCAATGACGGCCATGGTTGGACCACCAACATATCCAGCTCCAATGCAGCAAATCTTCACCATTTTGCTTTGCTATCTGAATCACCTCCACAATACAATAACATAAAATAGAAGTTTAACGTCAAACTTCAAAATCACTCTGTAATCAATACCATGATAAAAATAAACACCAAAACCAAGTGAGTGCATAAAAAAGGTCTTTAAACGAAATTTTGACTCAACAAATCAGATCCAACCATTGTAAAGAAATTAAAATTTGACAGATCCGGTTTTGTAAGAAGTAGAAGATGCACACAGAATATATTAGGTGAAAGCTACCACCAAATCAAGGAAAACTACACACATAGATGGAGAAATTCAAATCAAAATATCAGATCTGGTACATGCAAAATAACCGGCCGGTTCAAGGATTGGGAAATTATTATTTTTAAAAAACGTAAATGAGAAAGGAAATTACGTGAATTGTCAGCAGATCACCGACACAGATCGAAGCTTGAATGCAGAAACAAATTCTAATCAGAACCGGAGAGTGTTTCGTTTGGAGATGAAACCAAAACAAATATAAACATTCAAAAACCAAAATAGATCCAAATCGAAACAGGGAGGAGAAAAGCCGAGATCGGATCGCGAGAAACACCAAAATTGGATCGAGAAATAAAAAGAGCGAGAGAGAAAGAAGTTAGAGAATTGATGAATACCTGAAGGTGCGGTGAGCTACGTAGGCTCTGGGCTATACAGTGATCGAAGAAAATGGAGCTGAAATCGGTAAATCTGACGATGGAGAGAAGAAGAAGAGCGGGGTGAGTATGGAGTTTATATAGGTGATTAGATTCCTATAATACCCTTGAAACCGTCAAAGAGTAACGCGGTTTAAAAGTGTTCCTTTAATCTCTTTTTTTTTTCGGGTTAACTTGATTTATTGTTGCTTAATAAATAATTAAAAATCTGTACACTTTCAGTTAAAACTTAAATGAAGAAAGGTAGAAAAAACGATGGGCCTCACAATATTTGGCAGGTTTAAAGTTCTTTAAGACACGTTTATTTAAACATTTGACATTTTTTGTATCCATACATTTGGATTTCGACCAACATTAATTTGACTGTATCCTATATGCCAAAAAAAATATTTAATTTCTTTTCACTTTTTTCTGGTTATTTTCCCTATTTTAGGCTGTTTTACATTTGTTCATTAATTAACACATATTGGAAACGAAATAAATTTATTTATTGTCTTTCTGTTTTTCTTTTCTCTTACTTAGACTGGAAAAAGAGAGATTATGACTAAACAAACGTATTTGAGGCATATACATTATTGGTTTTTGTATACTATTTACCAAAAGTTTGGTGTTTAATTTTCAATAATGTACATGTTAATCTACTTATTATAAAATCCATTTTTGTATGAGTACTTAATTAGGTGATTGTGTGGTGAAGCCTCCAGGACTAACTTGAGACAAAAGACTAATTGCACTTTGCTTCAAAACTCAGTCACACTTTTTTGAAGTGCTTCTCAAGCTATTATTTGAATTATTATACAAACAAATATATAACAAAAAAAAAAAAAAAGAGTGGTTGAATTTGCAATCTTAAAAGGAATAATTGGAAAAAAAAAAAAAAAAAACTTAATCAAAACCAATGAGGAATATAACATAGTTCTTATACGTTGACCAGCAAAAAAGCTGGTTCGTATACAACTCGATTTGGTTTGCCATGTTACTTTTGAACACTGTATTAAACCCGCAATCATAATTTTTGTAGATTCACTAATTACTTTACTAGTTTTACATCCGAGAATTAGAATGCGTCATACTACACCCTCCGCTTTTTAGCAACGTGTACTCCTGTCAATTATGTAGTCTTTTTATGCAAATAATATACATCATTCATACATTTACATTTGCTTTCCCCAAGTAAAGTAGTATTATACATTCTAAAGATGAATTATACAAAGCAACAGTAAATTACTAAGAGGGAAATTAAGATCACCTCATGACATACCTATTAGGCGTTGCACCTCTAGCTTGATCCAACGTAGTGAAACCTTCCCAAACCAATCCACTCTTGGGTCCACGCAACTTGGTTCTCTTAGCCTGCACCCATTCCCAAAACCCAACCACCAATTCCCAAATGATCAGAATCACGACCGCAGCCACACCTGCGATCATGAACGCGTTTACGTTCGGCTTGATCACATCTCCTGCAACTGAGTAAGCGAAGAGCAGAGGAACGAACAGAGGGTAATACCAAAACATACTCTCTTTTCCTAAACTCAACATGCGTATCATCAGATAAATGGCATAGACGAAACCCACACTGTTCCATAACCATAACTGGATATAATAGCTCTCGTCCATAACCACTGAACCCGCTTTCGGACTGCTCGTTTTTGTACCGTTCCGACCGCCACCACTGAACCCGCTTTCGAACCTGCTTGTACCACCGTCTTGACCGCCGCCATCTGACACGCCTCCGGGAGGCTGGAGAGCGGTCTGATAAGTAGCTGTGACTATCAGAGCTGCGACCACTAAAAGAGCGTTTCTTCTCTCTTCAGAAATCCAAGAATAAAACCGAATATTCTTTGTCCGTCTCGATTCTCTCCAAGAAAGCTTGGACGCGAGTAGGTCGGATGTTGTCTTAATCTTAACCAGAGAAACAGAGCGTTTTCCACCATGTTTCTTAACCATTCTCTCTATCTCTCTGTTATTGTGTAATGCAGCGACGTCGAGAACAGTGAAACCGTTCTTGTTCTCAATGTTGACGTTGATATTGGAACTCTTTAACATCAATTTCATAGCTTGACGATTGGTCTCGTACGCCGCGAGATGTAAAGGCGTGTTACCGTCTTTGTCTCTTCGGTTTATGACTCTTGTCTCAATCCACTCGGCATCTTTCTGACACAATCTTAGGATCCATCCCATGAGAACTTTAAGAATAATTAGTCCTTGATCTCTTTCGTCGTAGTTATTCATGGCGATGTGAAGAGCGTTCTCTCCGTTAACGTTTGCGTCCACAATGCTTTCGGGGCAAACCAAGAAGAATTCTGATATCAGATCAATCTTCTTTTTGCTTACCGCAACTAGCAATGGTGTCATACCTTTGTTTGGACAAGAAAAAATAAAGTGAACATCTCTCGGTTAAACATCGAGTTTAGGTTTGGGTAACAAATCTAGTTCAACTGACAATACTTGATCAACATAATGTTTATGTTTAGTTGGATCTATAGACTGAAATCAAACCAGAATTCATTCAATGGAGTATTGGTCATACTTCAATACTCTATCCAAGATTTATATTTACTAGATACACATTATATACATAACTAGTACGAATTGATTAGATTAGAGCTAAGACTGGAGGAAAATCAACTCAACAAATAAGGGTAAGTACCATGTCTCCCTTTAACGCGAACAAGACTTGGATCAACCTTAACTAGTTCAAGTGCGAACCAGAAGTGACCATGATCCACGGCGAGGTGTAACGGCGTAAGTCCGTCCGCGTTAAGTTTCCGGGCAAAAGACGGTTTCAAGTTTATAATTTCCATAGCAAACTCTGTTTTCCCGGCGACGGCTGCCACGTGGAGAGGAGTATGAAGGAATGGCACGTCGTCGATTTTTTTAAGAACGTATGGATCTTCATGGATCAGTTCGTACAGTAGATCAATGTTTCCAGATTTAGCAGCAGCTTCTAATGATCTTTGATCCATTCAGGTGGTGTAAAGAAGGAGACCAAAACAACAATTATTTGGGTATTATTTTCTGTGTCTGTGGTTTATTACTTATACACGAGGGAGATGACGAAACGTAATTGGCTGCGAAATGATAACTAGTTTGTGAATCAAGTAAATTCCCGGAAAAATAAAATACGGGAGCTGAAAAATTGTGACGTGGCTGTATACATGGACATTACTTTGATCCATCATTTTGATCCAACGGTTAATATTAGATAGAAAAGAATTATAGTCAGAAACTTGAAAGTGACCATCTCTTTGTTCGAACGGCCACGATTTCATTTTCTGTAAACTTGTGGAACTGTTGATGTGACGTGGCGTTAAACGGTGGATTGAAACAGGATTAACATTAATCTGATGACATTAACGGACAAGATTAGGAAAATAATGATTTCTTACTAATCTAAGTTTATTTATTAAAAAAGCACCAAAAAGAGTAGCCGTTTAGAGAGCGTCCAAAAGAGCGCCGCAACGGTCACATTTTGTTCGACTCCTCTTCTTATTCATTTTACAAAACTCCATTTCAAGACAAAAAAAAAACACTAATTCGTGTTGAATAAAATTCTCAGATCTAGATCCGTATTCGTATTGCTCATTCGATTCCAGATTCTGTTCTTATTTTCGATGGAGTCGTTAACATTGAAGAATGGGAAACCAGGTACTCCGGTGAAGGATCGGAGCAAGTTTCAATCCAAGGTTCAAGATACTTCCAGATCGTCGGAGAATTCACACCCCAACATTTCGAGTCCGGCTAAGAAATCTGCGAAGAAATCGGCGCAGAAGAATCAGAGCCCGAATCCTAAACCGAGCCAGGCGGTTTTCTCTCCCCGGAGTCGGATCAGAGAGAGGAAGTTTGTTGTGGTGACGAAGAAGAAGTCGAGGAATGGGAAGAAGGATCCAGCGGTTGCAGAATCGGTTGACTGTAAATGCGGAGAGCGGAGGAAGGGGAACATGAAATGTGTCTGTGTTGCGTATGAAACGCTTCGTGCTTCGCAAGAGGAGTTTTTCAAAAAACGAAATGAATCGGAGGAGGAAATGGGAGGTTTGGATGAATGCTGTAATCTCGGAGATGGAGATGAGCTACAAGGAGAAGAATCCGGGGAGCCGGAGAAAATTGGCGTTTCGACAATGAAGAGGTCAAGGGCTAAGGTGGTGGAAGAGGCACGGCAAAGTGTGCCTGTATCTGGTAAAGTGATGAATCTTGTTGAAGCATTTGAAAAGCTCACTTGCTTTAGTAATTCAAAGACTGCCAACAAGGATGAAGAGAATCAAACCGAAGAAGATATGAAGAAGCCGGCGACATGTGAAATGAAACAGCAACCTAACTTCTTGGAGGGTGAGAAAGGGCAAAACCCGTGGAGTTCTTCGTTTTGTCCATCTGAATTGGTTTTAACAGCTAAGAATCTCGGGTTAGACCCAAATGCCTCCGTTTCTTCGTCCTGGGATAGCACCCGCGGCAGGTTAGTTCGTCCTTGACTAAAAGTTCTCAACTGTTACTTCTTTGATCTTGTCTTGTTCTTAATTGTTTGATCTGGTGATATTTCAGTGCTTTGAGTGGGAGTTCAAATGCTGGCCGGAGAAGCAGAAGAAATGTATGTTTCAATAGCATCTGGTTTTGATTAGCTGTCTTGCTTCGTATGTCAATAAAGTTTAATAATCAGTTTGATAATTCCTGTTTATGGCAGAGCTTGGACTCATCTACTACAATGGGAAGTAGAAGATCAAAGAAGAAGCAGGTCAAGGTCACTTCCTTGAAGCCGTTTAAGCTTAGAACTGAGGTATGACTTTCTTAGATGAAATAAAATAGAGAGTTTTGGGATTTTATGGTAGAAAGTGACTTTGGTTGGTCTTTTGTTTCTCTGCAGCAAAGAGGTAAAATGAAAGAGGAAGAGTTTGCAAAAAAGCTTCAAGAAATGACGATGGAGGAAGAAAAGATGAGAATCCCCATTGCTCAAGGTCTTCCATGGACAACTGATGAACCTGAGGTAAGCATGCGTATGCTTGGTAACTTGCAGCATTTTAATGGCCAATCTAGAACTGTTTGTTATGGATCTTTCCACGCAGAGAATTCAATCTTAAGTTTGAAATGAAAGCAAACGATGTATTGTTAAGTATTAATAGACTTGCATACGGTCAAGTTAGCATTCTAATGTTGTATTCTGTTTTTCAGTGTCTTGTTAAGCCTCATTGGAAAGACATCACAAGACCAGTTGACTTGACGCTCCACTCAGATGTCCGGGCAGTTGAACGAGCAGAATTTGATTACCAGGTGCAGTGATTAAATCTACATTTTGTTGGATGAAGTAGGCATCATAGAGAATTTTGCCCTCCCTTTTTCAAGATACCTTTAAACATGGCCGCTTAAATTATTTGGCTTCAGGTCATAGTTATACTGTCATATAATTTAGTCCTTCTTATCATCCTTATGATGGTTGTGTTGAGACTGAAAGAAAAGATGGTGATAGTGTCAAATTGTGTGTACTGTAGTCAAGCTTATCTTGTTTATAATAGGGTATAGCATTGTTCCAAAAATTTCACCAGGTTAAAAGTGTGACTTTTTGTTGTTCTAGGTCGCGGAGAAGATGAGCTTCATTGAGCAATACAAAGTGGAAAGAGAAAGACAACAAAAGGTAAAGTTTTCTATGACATATCGTGGTCATATCTTTTAACAGTATTTCTGAAATTGATTCTGATAAATCCATCATATTTTTTCAGTTGGCGGAGGAAGAAGAGATAAAAAGGCTGAGGAAAGAATTGGTCCCTAAAGCACAACCAATGCCATACTTTGATCGACCATTCATTCCAAGAAGGTACGGTAGATTTAAACGCTTGAAGCCTCCTTTCTTGTATAGACAGTGGTAGTTAGAGATAGTTTATATAAGTGGTAATCCGTTTTGCAGCTATATATAGTTTTTACTGACAAGTGACAAACTAACAGAGAGTAACCTTCTTAGAACAATGACCTTATTTGCAAAATCTGATACAATTGCTTTTTGTTGTTTTCTTTTATCATTAAAAGGTCGAGCAAACATCCAACTGCACCGCGAGATCCCAAGTTTCACATACCACAACACAAGAAGATCAGATGCTGCAGTTCATCTTCTTGGAGTGAAACTGGCTCCTGCATGAGCGATTTCCAATATCAGTTTCTCTGAAAAGCGTCTTTTGGATTCAATAACTATTATCCCTGTCCATATTCTCATTTTAAAAACTACATTACCTTCTGTAAGAGATTCAATGAAGCAACCAATTAGTTGCAGTTTCACAGATTTGACAATCATTCTTGTTCCACCTTTGTAATAATCTGGTCTACACCCAAAAAAAATGAGAAAGTTTTCATATTCGTTTGCAAAATCCTGTTTGGTCTGTTGGAGTTCTGGTTCAGAAAGATTTTATACTTGTCCTCCAGTTTGAATTTGGATTTAACTGGCATATCATATGATTTGATTCATAGAATACTAATACTAACTATTGTAATACTCCGCTATATGTGAGTTTTGGATTTTTGTTTGTAGAGATTCCGGTGTACTTGTTTTGTTTTAGTCAAGAAAGATGCAACTATCTAAAAGATTAAATTTGGATATAACTGACATATCCGAAGAGTTTCATAAAGGGAGAGTAAACTATGTCTCTAAGATTTCTATGCCAAAGAGTAAACTTGGGGTACAAAATCACTGTAAGAACAAAACTTCAACAGTTTGAAATATCAAACTAGTCCGTCAAGGTGAGCACAACAGAAGAGAATAAAGATCTAAAATCCCAAAACCCAAAAATATCAGTAACATTCTTGAATCTCTCCCAAAGCAAAGCACAAGGAGAAAAACATTCAGCACTCTATGATTCAGCTGCAATACGCCCAGCAACCTGATCCAAATCCCGTTGACCACTTGAAGTAATTCTTCTTCCTCTGAGACAACGAATGAAAGAAGTGAGAAGAGAGGTAAGCTTACAAAAGTGCATATAGAAAGATAAAAATATTACCCTCTTGTGTCGAGCTCAACAATGCTCATAGTCTCCAACTGTTGGAGAATATGGCGAGCAATACCGCCACTGCTCTTACAGAAATGTGGTGGTCGACTTCCATTTCTTTTGCTTCCACCATAGATTCGTCTGAAAGCACCAACACCAAGACCACCTCTCAAGTAAACCTTCCTGGCCATAGAAGCTGCACCAAGAAAGAGATCAACAACATTTATGATGACTCAATTAAAAAAACAGAAGCAACGAAGAGAAAGATAAGTTCTTTGTTTACCAGCTCTAATGTAGTACCAATCCGGGTCGTATGGAGCAAGCTCCTTTAAACGACCAGTCTTCACAATGTCTGTCCATAGAGGAAGCTCGATCTGAATCAGACAAAAGAAACAATTGACTTTACAATTACCTACCAATATGATCATTTCTATATATCTATCTTCCTCAGTCTTTTTACAGATTCAATGCCTCAAAAAAACACCAACACATGGAAATACAATAGCAGAAGCTCCCAAAATTCCAATTCTTTTCTCCCAAAACTCATTATAAGAGCCTTTTGATTCTCAACTGAAGCAAATCAAACTTGAAAGAGAAGCAATTAAGAAGCCACTAACCTTTCCAGATCGCTTGAGGTGAGAAGCGTAAGCTTTGACGAAATCGTGAGGAGAAACATCTTTCACGGTTTTACCAGTCGTCATTGCTCTAGAAATGAACAACTCAATTGAATCACTCCGTATCTCTTCCTCTCTCTCACTCCGCAATGCCAAAATCTTTCAATTTTCAGTTAGAGAGTGTATATATATATTATCATCGGAGCAATCAATTTTCCAATTAGGGTTACATTTTTGTTCCGGGTCTTATTCTAATCACATTTAACCCGACCCGTATTAAAGCTTAAGTTTAGGCCCCATTATTGGCCCAATAGATCAGTTTTGTGTTTTTTTAAGGCGGTACGTCATCGTTTCAGTAGATGCTTCTAACTTGCGTAATTGCGTTAATTAAAATTCATTCATATATCCCTAGAGACTACAACTAGTATACTAGACTTGAGCTAGGGGAGCTAATTAGCTAACAGCCATGGCGATTAAGCAGTTACTGACGGTTGCTCGACGGTCACCGATACGTTTATGTCTCAATCAAGCGATACGACTGGCCTCATCAGCCGTCGCTGCCGTATCTCCGTTCACAACTCCGGTAACTTCTTCCCATCCCCTGCCGCAAGTTATGCCTTACGACAACGCGGCGGAAACTGTGAAATCGAAGCTGAAGAAGCTCGAGAATCCAGAATTAAGGTTCCTCAAATACGCGTCGCCACACCCGATACTTGCCTCGCACGATCATATCTTGTCTTCCCCGGAGACTCGTATCACCACTTTGCCCAATGGTCTCCGTGTCGCCACTGAGTCTAACCTCTCGGCCAAAACCGCCACCATCGGAGTCTGGATTGACGCCGGATCACGTTTTGAGTCGGATTCTACTAACGGTACCGCTCACTTTCTGGAGCATATGCTTTTCAAAGGCACGGAGAGGCGCAGCAGGACAGAACTGGAGGAAGAAATCGAGAACATTGGAGGTCAGTTAAACGCATATACAACGAGGGAACATATCACATTTTACGCCAAGGTGTTGGATACGAATGTGAACCAGGCGTTGGATATATTAGCTGATATGTTGCAGAATTCTGAGTTCAACAAAGAAAGAATCAACCAGGAGCGACAAGTGATTTTGAGGGAAATGCAGGAGGTATTCTATGAGCTTGCCCTTCTGAATTTTGTTCTTTTCTCGATTCTCTTGTCTCGTTTTGATTTTGATTGGTAGACGTTAAGTCGCTGATGGTACCTGAAGTCTTGTTTGTATGGAATTAGTTGAGAAACTAGTTTATACTACTCGCATCACTCGCATATAGCGATGATCACATGAACTTTTATTTTTTTGCCATGTGTGAAAAGGTTGAGGGACAAACACAGGAAGTTGTGCTTGACCATTTGCATGCAACTGCCTTCCAACACACACCTCTGGGAAGAACTATCTTGGGACCTGCTCAAAATATCAAATCGATCACTAGAGATGATCTTCAGAACTTTATAAAGACTCATTTCACAGCTCCCAAAATTGTAATGTTTGAAAACCATACAGTTTTATCATCTGCTATCAGGTGTAGGCTTTGCTTTTTTTCCATATTGACTCATCAAAAATATGTCTTTCAGGTGATTGCTGCTGCAGGAGCTGTCAAACACGAGGAAATTGTTGAGCAAGTGAAGAACTTATTTACAAATTTGTCCTCAGATTCAACATCCACTTCTGAATTGGTCGCCAAAGAACCTGCCAATTTTACAGGCTCTGAGGTAAATAAACCAATATTGTCGATTTACTTTTATGTTTGGTTCGTATTTCATCTCTCTAGATATGTTTCTTTTTAAATTATTTTCAAGGTCCGTATGATTGATGATGACCTACCCTTAGCACAATTCGCCATTGCCTTTGAAGGAGCATCTTGGACAGATCCGGATTCTGTTGCTCTTATGGTTATGCAAACTATGCTTGGATCATGGAACAAAAGTATTGGTGGGGGAAAACATATGGGGTAAGAATTTTTGTATGATTAATATAGCTTGGCCTTAATTTCAGTCAATTATTTTTTTATGTAAATTATGTGATCAATATTATGTATCTAAGCAGCTCTGAGCTGGCCCAGAAGGTTGCCATTAATGAAATAGCTGAAAGCATAATGACATTCAACAGCAACTATAAGGATACTGGACTTTTTGGCATTTATGCTGTTGCTAAGGTGAATTTAGAATCCCATATCTATCCTAGTAGTATTTCTTACTTAATTGGACATTTTTTTTATTCTATGCGGGGGAGTACATGTCTTTTTACCTTTCTTGGGTACTTTTTTCAGCCTGATTGCTTGGATGATCTAGCACATGCCATTATGTACGCCGTAACCAAGCTAGCTTATAGGGTCTCAGAAGATGATGTGACACGGGCACGGAATCAGGTAAAAGACCTCACCATCTTAGCCAGCATTCTCTTGCTTATACCACATGTGATTGGTGACGTTTCTCTCCCTCATCATTTGTTGAAACTTATAAAAAGGGTGCTTATGGTTATGGAAGTTCATAGCAAGTACTGATTGTTAATTTTCTTCCTGAATATTGCAGCTGAAGTCTTCATTGTTGCTTAACTTAAATGGAACTACCCCAGTTGTTGAAGATATAGGTCGTCAGGTATGACATCCATCTTGTTTGACGTATACCTATTGATATAAATTTATTGGTTCAGAGAAAATAAACCCCAGATTTACTTAGAGCTTAAGGCTTCTTTGTACTCCAAAAAGAAACCGTAGGTTCTCAGACTACTTTTGGGATACTAGGCCTATCATTTTCAAACTTGATCAGGTAGGCCTTACCAGGTAACTTATTGTGCTTTTACAGCTGCTAACATATGGTCGTAGAATCCCAACTGCTGAGCTATTTGCAAGGATTGACGCTGTTGATGCCAGCGCCATAGGACAAGTTGCCAACAAATACATATATGACAAGGTTAGTTTTGTGCTTCTTTTTGAAAAGTTTGAGATTAGCTTAGGGTAAAAGAGTCAGTGAAACCAGGACACTAATAAATCTCATCGGGATTTTGTAGGACATGGCTATCTCAGCCATTGGTCCAATCCAAGAATTACCGGACTACAACTGGTTCAGACGCAGAACCTACTGGAACCGCTACTGAGCGTTCCTAACTTCCCCTGATTCTTCACACGCCTTCGTTTCATATTCTTTTTATCTGTGAAACATCAGTTCAGAGATAGATTAGATTAGCAAGTGATGATAGATAAGATTTCATTCATAATTTACTCAACCGGATGATAAATTAAGTGTAGTTAACTCTCAACCTTTTTGGTGAGTGGGGCTATTAACGTTTTAGGTTTATGGAGATGAGTTAAAAGCACACACTACTCTCTTTTAAGCTGAGTAAACTCTTTTGACCAAATAATGATTTAAAGACTGTTGCATTTATGAAATGAATGCAGATTAGATGGAAACAACCTCTCAAAAATTCTGGAGATTCATGCCATTGTATCACATCAATAAGGGTACAGCTGAACACACATATATTATCTAACGCTAACCACAACCGTAGCCATAGGCCATAACTATGAAAAAATGAGAAAAGAAGTAGAAACAACTGAGGCACAATGACAGGCACTGATGAAACTGAAAAGAAGACAAAATGAGCGGGTGTCTTAACAATAACAACAACACAAGGACAGGACAGGTTTGGTGAAGTTAGTTAGTTAAATAAAAGAGTTTGGGTTTCTTCTTCGTAAGCATCGAAATCAGATTCCTTTACCTACAAAAAATAAAGAAGGGAAAAGGAAATCGACAGTGTTAAAACATATTTCTCTCTCTTATTTCTCTCCTCCCCCCTGCTTCCTCGGTTTCATCGTCCGCTGCATTTCTTCTGTCTCAACAATGGCGTCATTGTCAGTACCTTGCGCCAAGATCTGTGCCCCCAACTGGCAAGTTGGATCTCTTCCTGGACTCTCCACCCGACGATGGCAGCCGCAACCCAATGGCGTCTCCTTTTCCCCCGATGTCTCTCAGGTTTGTTCTGCTCTCTCTTCTCTCTATCTCTCTCGCATATGATATGATGATCCTGTTAAAAAGCAAAAAAAGTGTGAGCCTTCACGAGATGAGTGGCGTACGATTGGATAATTATGATCTGTTTAGTGTAACTCTGGAACTTACTCTGCCTGCACAGTTTTACGATAATGGGAATAATACATTTTACGATGATGAACAAGTTATTGTCTTTTTGAATTTAGAAGACATTGATTCATAACCAAAATCTTTTACAGTCTCAATCTACAATCTGGAGGTTGCGTGCAACAACCAACGAGGTAAAGCCTTGTTTTTTCTACCTACAAGATTTCATACAATTATATGACACGATGCAACTTTCTTACTCGTTTTCGATCGACTTCACCAAGGTTGTTTCGAACTCTAGCCCAATGACTAATGGTGGGTATTTGAACGGAAAAGCCAAAACCAATGTTCCCGAACCCGCCGAGCTCTCTGAATTTATGGCTAAAGTCTCAGGTCTTCTTAAGTGAGTCCAAATCCAAGGAATCCGTATCATCCTTTAGCTTAGTAGTTTCTTTCTTTGAAACTAAATCAAGCACTAAAACATCTTTTGTTTGATCTTATTAAGGCTTGTGGATTCAAGAGACATAGTGGAACTTGAACTGAAGCAGCTTGACTGTGAAATCGTTATTCGAAAGAAGGAAGCTTTACAGCAAGCTGCAACCCCAGCTCCAGTTTATCACTCAATGCCTCCTCCAACTGTCGACTATCCAATGCCTCCAGCTCAGTCAGTGGCTCCTCCTCCTCCTCCTACCCCTGCCTCAACCTCTGCAACAGCAAAACCAACAACTCCCCCATCTTCGTCTCAACCTCCACTCAAGAGTCCTATGGCTGGTACTTTCTACAGATCTCCTGGACCCGGTGAACCCCCTTTTGTTAAGGTACAAGAGGATGGGAAAATAAATCTTCGGTTCTTGGATGAAGTTTATCAAAGCTTTGATAGTTTTCTATCGAGTGAAATTCATTACATTTGAATTTGATATAGATTTGTTGTGTGTTTGAACTATGCAGGTTGGAGATAAAGTGCAGAAGGGTCAAGTTGTTTGCATTATCGAAGCTATGAAACTGATGAACGAGATTGAGGTTGGAGATTCTTTATAACATCACAGTAACTTAAAATCGAAATTTGCGAATTCGAATGATTATTATAATATATATGTTTGTGAGTTTTTAGAGTCTAACGCCTGTGAAATTGTGTCTTGGAAATAGGCTGAGAAGTCAGGAACCATCACTGAGTTACTGGCTGAAGATGGAAAACCAGTTAGCGTTGACACGGTAACGTTCTCTCTCCACTCTCTGGTTTTGAATTGGTTTTCAGATCATATAACTTATGGTGACTTCTTCTATAATAAACTATGCAGCCTCTGTTTGTTATCGTATCTTGAACTTGAAACGAAGAAGCATCCTTTTAGCAGCCGGTTCAAAACGTCTTTCAGAGTCCCGATTTACCCTAATATACCAACGTGCTGAAAATGAGCTGATCAGGTTGGGTTGGTTTCAGTTGGTCTACTCTTCCTTGCGAGCTTCAGTAGTTTGGCTTTTGGGATTTCACATAACGTATTATGCATATGTACGTCTCTTTCTCTTTTAGAATAAGTTCGACAAAGAAATCATTTACTTTGTGTTGTTATGGTATATCAAATTTGTTTAGATAAAAAAATGTGTGTGTTTTTTTTTAAATAAATCAAGAAATGTGGTGTTCGTATGAAATTAATGATAAATAAACCGATAAAGAAAAACACTAATGCCTATGGTTTAACCTTAATGCTTTACTAGTGTACTTGTTTAAAAGAGCAGTTTAGTTTAGGGCGAAATAACATATTCAGTTTAGTTTGATTATATGAGTGATATAAAGTATAAACCCATGCGCATCATAAGCGCGTATAGCGCGTGTTTACATATTTTCCGGGTTATAGACCACGGTTTTTAGCTGTTTTGCCCCATATCCGGCAATTACTACGACCAAAGCGCGTGAAGCGGTCTTTCGGCCCTACTCAGTACAGTAAGCTTGCACTTGTATTTTTCATCATATGTCCACAATCTTCTACTGTTTTTGATGAAACAAAATATTTAAAATTTGTAAATAAATCTATATGAAAATTGCACAATAATGTAGTTTGAACATTTCAAATTATAAAAATCGTGGATATTTTACCTTGTACCTAGCGCCTAGATGACAAAAAATCTGACTCTTGGTAATGTTATGATTACTGTACATACAAAAGTTTGAACATTTCTAATTTTAGAAAAATAGATCAAGTGTTCAAACTATATTAAGAAAATACATAGGGTAAACTGTATACATTAATGACAACCTTTTGCTAAACAATGTGATCAAGATTGAAAAAAAAAAGAAGAAGCAAACATATAATAAACAAATACAATAACATTTGGTCAATATCATCATCTAGAGATCAAATTGACCAATAAATCCCCTTCCCTCCCCAATTCCGGACTTCTTCTACTTTTGATTTTTTCTTTTTCTTTCTAACAAAAAGATTTTGACGTTCCATTTCGTTCGGTTTTTCCTAATTTTAGTACGAAAGCGTACTACTGTACATTGATTAAGAGCCTAATCAACAGCGTTCTTCGATTATCTTTGTAGTGAGCTGCATTATGTACAGTAATCTAATAACAGGAGCAAGTGTTGTTGGGATCTCACTTTACCTTCTGTTGCTACTTCTGGTGCTGTAACTCAGTCTACGAGCTGCTCCTCTTCCACCTCCTCCATGCCATCCTCTGTCATCATCCTCGTCGTCATCATCATCTTCATTGTAGGCCACTGCTTTTTTAGCAGATCTTGCAGTTTTTCTTGGTGTTGGACGTTTTCTTTTGATGTTTGCTGAATAGATGGTGAAGTCAACTGTATCTTCTCTCATTGCATTCTTAAACTCCTGCAAGAAAGAAAGATGGATACAATGATGATCTCTGCGCCCAGTGATTTAGATCTTACAAGTTAAGTTAAAAAAAAAAAGGCTTTGGGGTTTTGACCTGATATCTCTGAACTAAGTCTGGATATGTTGAAGGTAAGTCAGGGCGAGTTTCACTGAGGTCAAAGACAACGTTTTGTCTGGACAGAGGATCTCCTGGCTTCAACAGTTCCGTTGGAGAATAGGCCTGAGATATTTTTATTTAAATTTTTTTCCCAACACCAGTCACGTTTTCGCGAACAAAGTTAAAGAAAAAGAAAAACTAGTGGAAAGTAAAGAACCATACTTGGCACCGATCATCATTTAAGCTGTATGTGACTTTTAAGTATCTCTTGAGCTTCAAAAGAAGTTGTATAGCTATAGCTGCTAAGCAATCAACCTGAAATTATATAAAAGCAATGATGATATAAAGAATTCTCAATTTTGATAAACCAGATGTAAAGCTAAACAACTGAACCGATCTGCATGGACCAAACCCAAACAAAATTCAAATATTGCGAGGTATGTATTTTTTTTACTAAATCTGGAAAACCAAAACTATTCTTAGCTAAAGGGAAACACCAAACTGAAACAATGATTCAAGAAAATTGAGTAAACCAAAATGTACCAACCTCATCTATGCCAGATTCGTTTTACAATAGTTACCTTCCAAGACCGAAAATGTGAAAATTTCACACAAAAAAGAAACCCAGTTTTAACACCCTAAGTATCACATGAGAAAAAGGTATGAAGACTACCTGAATTTTCTGCTGATCATCGGTGGATAATTCAGGAGGATCAGATGAGGTCGTCTTGTACACATTTGCTTTCCCATTATGGACTTGATATGAAGTGAATTGATCCCTTGGATTCTGGTAAACTGCTCCATTGAGGTCAATTGGAGTTGGATGGCCATAGGAATTCCAATTAGTCGGTTCTTGGATTCTAGTGTTTAGATCCATCATGTGCATATGTCCGGGAATCGAGTCTTGTTGGTATATTCCATTTCCATGCTGAGTTTTTATAGAATCTTTATGTAACAGAGCCTTCAAATTTGACTCTACTGCACCAGCCCGAATTTGCATTACTCGGTTTATGGAATATACAAGATAAAGCGGCTCATCAGGTGATGTGAATGGAAGTAAAGCAAGCGTTTCAGTGCAATACCTGTAAAGAGAAACAGTGAAGTTAGTTTTAATTTTAGCACAAAGAGACTGTAAAGGTTTTATTTTTCTGTAGTAGCGAATACTCACTTCAGAAAAGATATTACTGAGCCACTCCAGGTTGGATTATCAAACTTGCGAACAATAGAAGTCATAAATTTGTTTCGAGAAATCCGGTTTCCACGGATAAGCTTGTAAATCCTAGAGACGCCAAGTCTAGCTTGTGTGAGAGTACTATTAGTATGATCATTTTTCCCCGACATGTTAGTCGAACCCTTTTGCTGAAGACTTTGATTAGGATCTGAAGTGACCTGGCTGATGGCTTGCATGAAGATGAACGACATTTGGAGTCCGTCACCGAGACGACTCTCAAAAAAAGCCGGATACCTGATGAAAACGTTGAGGAGTGTTAGTGTGCTGATACTTGATTAGCTAATGTAAATTTTTGTGAAATCCAGTCAGAGGATTACTTCTCATGCATATTCATTAGTAAATGATGGGCCAGCTTTTGGTTGGCTTCTTGAGGATCTGTCTCGAGAGCAATCAAATAAGGAACACACGTAATAGGATGAACTAGACCTTGACGTAGTACAACTTCCACTATCTGCGAAACAGAATACCTCTCAACGGTTCAGACAAAAGCAAAGAGACAGAAGCAAAAATTATTAATGAAAAAAAAAGGGTAAACCTTGAGAGCAGTCTGGCGAATTTGATCATCAAAGTCCAAGCATCTACCTAATATCTTATCCCAATACAACTGCACAATGCCTCCGCAAATGTTGGTGTCACCGGCACCAGCAGCCACGGGTACGGCATGGCCACCTTGCTCAATTGGGTTAACCGCGTTATCACTGGCTTTCTCGGATACCAATTGTTTTTCCGCATCAAGAAGGTATTCATACATGTTTTGTAATGCTTGCATCTGAATTAGGAGCATTAACAAAAGGACGAAACCATATATAATTGTAAAACAAAACATGTAAACCATATAAATCGAAAAAGCATATAGATGGGTGATATTACCTTCATACGCCCGTTTGCATCATCTGATAATGTAGTCTCGATTATCTTACCAATGTCTTCTTCCAACATGTACTCAGGTCGAGCAATTAGGATGAATCCTAAAGCCTACAGGACGTTTGGGTCACCGTTATTCTAGGACAACGCAATATCGAGAATGTGCAACAGACAAGAACTGTATCCACCATACCTGCAGTGACCTGACTTTCAAAGCAATATCTTCTGTTTGGAGGTGTCGTTTAAATAAATTGAGACAGCCAGAAAGATTGAAAGTCTTTCCACCAGAGGTGCTAATAAGAGACTTTCCATGGCGAATAAGTAATCCAAGACAAAAAAGGGACCGCCCAGCAATCTGAAATAAAACACATATTTTCACCATTAAGCTTTAAATGAACCTGTTACTAGGTTCATGTGATAAAGAATAATAGTTATTTACACTCAGCCAAAACAAACGAGAATAGGAACAAACCCCAATATAGGTAATGATGCAACCAAATATACACTCACAAATGCAAGCCACAACAGTACAATATTCCGACCCACAGATACTCCGCTTGTAAATCATGTGCATGAAACAAGACTCAAGGACCTTAATTGTGCTTAAACATGAAAAAATCCTGACGCACGAAATTTAAGAAGTAAACCCACCTGTGTGTTATCGGAACCTTGGGCCTCCAGCCGCTTAAAAAAGAACTGAAGAAGATGTTCAACTAAACTAACACCTTTTCCCGCTAATTTACTCACAGAACAGAGACACCTGAAAATTCAAGGGGCAGCACTAATCAAACAGAAGGTACTTTCCAAAAAAAAAAGATGAGTGATATTTCGCGACTACAACTTTCATGAAGACATGCAATCGTCCCAATAAAATAAAATGAACTGATGTGAAAGCGAAAATGATGTACAGTGCCAGAAGTGATGGTAGTTGAAAATTAGAGGGTACCTAACGCAAGCATGAACAACAGTTAGAAATGAATGTCGAACAATCATATGCTTTAGATCTTGTTCCAGATCTTCAGTGACGTTTAGAGGCAGCTTGCGGATCAAGGGTAGGACAGAATCGATAATGAAAATAATACTCTCTAGTAACTGTGCTCCTATTCTACTATCAACCTGCAACAAATACAAGATGAAAGGCAAGTTAGCAACACTTTTAGTGCGAAATTCTACTGTGCACGACGCTTCACAGTTGATATATTATTTTGCATTACTACCACTATTTTTTAAACACAAGCACAGATAAGATCTTAACAGTATCATTCCTTTACACAACTTAAGAGAAACTTGAAAAGATTGGCCATATATAACCTGACTCTTCAGATATGGCTGTAGTGTGATGACAAACTTAGCAGGGTCTGAGGCCGGTGTACACAGACCAGGATCCACCAGACAAAAAGCATGCAAAACAAGTACATAAGGAAGTACTTGCACCTCTCCTTCTTCGCGGCTCATTTCTTCTACCTGAGGGAATAAAAGATGTTTGTTATAGGCTCTCAACCAACCCATCAATGCATAGACATGTAACATTAATGTTGACCTGTAATATCTTTTCCAGTAAGCACTGGCACATCAACTCACAGCGCCTGCGTACTGATGCAAGAGCAACTGGGTTGATACC